AGTCAGCAGATGAGTTCATACTGGCTCGTGAAACAGTAGTCCGTTTTGTGCAAGACTCCATCGCCGAAGCGGTGGATAAGCAAAAGCAAAACGCTGACAAGAATGGAAGGGCAAACACTCTTTTATTCAATAAGGGTGACTTAGTCCTACTGTCTACGGTTAATCTACCAAAGCATGTAGTGACTAACTTGGGTAGCAGTAAACTACTTCCCAAGTACACCGGCCCATTTCGTGTATTGCACCGACTAGGCCATGCATACACGATCGAGTTACCACGTAGGATGCGAACGCATCCCACGTTTTACGTTGGTCGGCTTAAGCCGTACCATCAGTACACTGCTTCTTCCGATGAAGAACGCCCTTGCGCTCAAGCATCTCGCAGAGAGCCTTGTGCTCCCGATGGTGGGCATCGACAAGGGTCTGAAGAGCAGTTATCTCATCCCGAGACTGATCAACAATCCCACGAGCTACCACTAGCTCGTCACGAAGAGATGTAAGAGCTCTCTCTGTTCTCAAGCTGAGCAAAGGCAAACTCATCTCGATGCTTCGAGACAGTGTCCGCCATTTGGAGACGCCTGTCCCGCTCATGTTCGAGATCACCGCGTAACCCTTACGTTACGCGATCAAAGAAGCTCTCGGGAACACACGGATCCCGACGATCGTGTGGAGAGCGTCTTTCCTCCTCCTCCACCTCCGTTATAGGACTCTCGTGGTGGCCAGCGCTATCTGGTTGAGCAGCTGTTGAACCACCGCGACGTGAACGGACGTCGGACGAGTTATCTCGTCCGGTGGCGCGGCTATCCCCCGTCCTGGAATACTTGGGAGCCCCACTCCCAACTGATGGTTGACGTACTGGGTCTGGTTGAGCAGTACGATGCGGCACATCCTATGCCGCAGAAGGACCGCCGGAGAAAGTCTTCCCCGCACGGTCGTAAAGGGATTTCAGGTTGTCAATCCCTTCGTACATCTCACTAGAGATACGTACGCGCCACCAAGGGATATTAAGGAGGTAAGCCTCCTTAGGTGCTCGTGCAGAGTTGTTCACACAACATGGGCACGAGTCTCCCCAGGAAAGACAGGGTAACCCTTTCTCCCTAGACAAACGATGCAGTTTGTAGCGTGCACATGTAGGGGTTCGCTTTTCAAACTTATCACGAGCTTTGATAAGGTTGTCGTTCCAAGCGTCACGACCTACATCCTCAAGGTTATGGATGTAAGCGTTCCACGCTTGAAGCAGTGAGGGACCATCACGCTTGTGATTCCCACTGTACCATCGATGTTTGAAGAAAGCATCGATGAAGAATTCATGTTCAGCGCGATAGTTTTTCGCGCTGGGGTCAAGGTGATGGATCCTTGACGAATCGAACAACCGTGTTCGATAACGATCACTCGTCGTCGCCGACAAGTGATCCATGACGGATTTAGGAGGCATCCATGCCTTCTTTTCAGGAGCGAGACGCAACACGTTGCAGTCCCGCTCTTCTTGCGACGTGCCGACAGAAGTACTGGCACCTCGCTGTGAAGTGGTGTCAATAGGAGAACCGACACCACTGTTAGCGCCCGAGTCTCGCGACCTCGAGCGCTTTCGCTTCGGCGATGGTTCATCTGATTCATCAGATGAACCAAATATGCTACGACGCATAGCATCATCCATGCCACGCTTGGCAGGCGGCTTGGTTTCGATCGCCGTTGATACGGATCCGTCTTCCGTATCAGGAGATTATGAGGCACCGAGCTCATACTCTGTGAAGACATGAGTGTCTTCATGACCAGCGCCTGCATCACCAAGTGACACAGGCTGAGTCGCTTCAGCAACCTATGAGACATCAGTTGCTTTGGTTTCTGCTTCAGCGTCCGCACAGAGACGTGCGGGCGCGCTCTCGGAGGCCTTGCTCGCGCATCGCATGGGCTTGTTGACCGTGCGATGAATTGTTGGAAAGTGGACTCGGACCAACAAGTGCAAACCCTGTCCCAAATGATTTGGGACGAGTATCCATTTAGTCAATCAGTCACTAAAGTGACTGATGGTTAGGGGGGGGGTGATGTAACGGGGTGAATCGTTACATAACAATTTATAAGAAATTGTTAATAGTATATAACTATAAGAGTTATATTCTCAGAATATTGTCATAAGGAAAAATATTCTGGAGCACTTACGAGTAGTTCATAATTGGTTGATATAGGCCATTATATCAACCAACGAAGACACGCCACGACAGACGCACGCAATGAGTGGTGAGCAGATAGTTGATTTACACATTTGTATTTAGACATAGTTAGATGAAGATAAATAGTGATTTATTGCAGACATTAACTATGATAAATACACTTCTACTTTTTACTTTAACCAAGTACTCGCTTCTTCTTACCGTCTTCCTCTGCACGTACGAGTGTACGTGAAGTTACGAGGCACCGCCTTATTCTGTCATCAGAATAAGTAGCTTATACTGTCACCAGTACAAGCCTAGAGGTGCCCCGTTACATCATCAAAAACTGGGAATGGGATGGTAGAGGAGGGATAGTGTGAGATGAACATGATAATATATGGTCGAGAGAGTGTATTGGGCCAGGTTCGGATACATCATAATTAGATGCTGATTAAAAGCATTAGGGCAAGAGTAACAATATTTAAAAGATCGGATGAACCACCTGTACAATGACCCACTCGGGTCAGAAGGTTTAACCTTTTCCTTGTAATAAACACTTTTACTTTATCCTTAGTCCTATTACAAATAACTCCACGCTGGTTAACACACGAGCTCAACGGGTCAATCGCACACCTACTAACGGAGCCATAAGTGTCAACGTCAGCGCCGAAAGCCATAAAAAGGTGGTACTTGGTCATTCCTGATGAAAACCTTGGAAACGCAACGACTATTGAACTGCTTGTGGCATTTGCATCAACGGGCATGATTTAAGTCAGTTATTAGCAGTAGAAGCGAGTGTAAATCATGCGCTGCACTCTCCTGGAAGCTACAGTCAACGGCGGGTCAAATGGATCAGACCGAACTTGGCTGGCGAGGTTGAATCCATCGAGGCAAATTCTGGATCAATCGCATTATCAGGTCGTCTTTAATGCTAGTGTAACGGAACACCCTGAAGCTTGTAATGGTGACAGTACAAGCTACTTATTCTGATGACAGAATAAGGCGGTGCCTCGTAGCTTCACGTACACTCGTACGTGCAGAGGAAGACGGTAAGAAGAAGCGAGTACTTGTTTAAAGTAAAAAGTAGAACTGTATTTATCATAGTTAATGTCTGCAATAAATCACTATTTATCTTCATCTAACTATGTCTGAATACAAATGTGTAAATCAACTATCTGCTCACCACTCATTGCGTGCGTCTGTCGTGGCGCGTCTTCGTTGGTTGATATAATGACCTATATCAACCAATTAGGAACTACTCGTAAGTGCCACAGAATATTTGTCCTTATGACAATATTCTGAGAATATAACTCTTATAGATGTATTCTATTAACAATTTCTTATAAATTGTTATGTAACGATTCACCCCGTTACATCACCCCCCCCTTAACCATCAGTCACTTTAGTGACTGATTGACTAAATGGATACTCGTCCCAAATCATTTGGGAAAGGGTTTGCACTTGTTGGTCCGAGTCCACTTTCCAACAATTCATCGCACGGTCAACAAGCCCATGCGATGCGCGAGCAAGGCCGCCGAGAGCGCGTCCGCACGTCTCTGTGCGGACGCTGAAGCAGAAACCAAAGCAACTGATGTCTCATAGGTTGCTGAAGCGACTCAGCCTGTGTCACTTGGTGATGCAGGCGCTGGTCATGAAGACACTCATGTCTTCACAGAGTATGAGCTCGGTGCCTCATAATCTCCTGATACGGAAGACGGATCCGTATCAACGGCGATCGAAACCAAGCCGCCTGCCAAGCGTGGCATGGATGATGCTATGCGTCGTAGCATATTTGGTTCATCTGATGAATCAGATGAACCATCGCCGAAGCGAAAGCGCTCGAGGTCGCGAGACTCGGGCGCTAACAGTGGTGTCGGTTCTCCTATTGACACCACTTCACAGCGAGGTGCCAGTACTTCTGTCGGCACGTCGCAAGAAGAGCGGGACTGCAACGTGTTGCGTCTCGCTCCAGAAAAGAAGGCATGGATGCCTCCTAAATCCGTCATGGATCACTTGTCGGCGACGACGAGTGATCGTTATCGAACACGGTTGTTCGATTCGTCAAGGATCCATCACCTTGACCCCAGCGCGAAAAACTATCGCGCTGAACATGAATTCTTCATCGATGCTTTCTTCAAACATCGATGGTACAGTGGGAATCACAAGCGTGATGGTCCCTCACTGCTTCAAGCGTGGAACGCTTACATCCATAACCTTGAGGATGTAGGTCGTGACGCTTGGAACGACAACCTTATCAAAGCTCGTGATAAGTTTGAAAAGCGAACCCCTACATGTGCACGCTACAAACTGCATCGTTTGTCTAGGGAGAAAGGGTTACCCTGTCTTTCCTGGGGAGACTCGTGCCCATGTTGTGTGAACAACTCTGCACGAGCACCTAAGGAGGCTTACCTCCTTAATATCCCTTGGTGGCGCGTACGTATCTCTAGTGAGATGTACGAAGGGATTGACAACCTGAAATCCCTTTACGACCGTGCGGGGAAGACTTTCTCCGGCGGTCCTTCTGCGGCATAGGATGTGCCGCATCGTACTGCTCAACCAGACCCAGTACGTCAACCATCAGTTGGGAGTGGGGCTCCCAAGTATTCCAGGACGGGGGATAGCCGCGCCACCGGACGAGGTAACTCGTCCGACGTCCGTTCACGTCGCGGTGGTTCAACAGCTGCTCAACCAGATAGCGCTGGCCACCACGAGAGTCCTATAACGGAGGTGGAGGAGGAGGAAAGACGCTCTCCACACGATCGTCGGGATCCGTGTGTTCCCGAGAGCTTCTTTGATCGCGTAACGTAAGGGTTACGCGGTGATCTCGAACATGAGCGGGACAGGCGTCTCCAAATGGCGGACACTGTCTCGAAGCATCGAGATGAGTTTGCCTTTGCTCAGCTTGAGAACGAGAGAGCTCTTACATCTCTTCGTGACGAGCTAGTGGTAGCTCGTGGGATTGTTGATCAGTCTCGGGATGAGATAACTGCTCTTCAGACCCTTGTCGATGCCCACCATCGGGAGCACAAGGCTCTCTGCGAGATGCTTGAGCGCAAGGGCGTTCTTCATCGGAAGAAGCAGTGTACTGATGGTACGGCTTAAGCCGACCAACGTAAAACGTGGGATGCGTTCGCATCCTACGTGGTAACTCGATCGTGTATGCATGGCCTAGTCGGTGCAATACACGAAATGGGCCGGTGTACTTGGGAAGTAGTTTACTGCTACCCAAGTTAGTCACTACATGCTTTGGTAGATTAACCGTAGACAGTAGGACTAAGTCACCCTTATTGAATAAAAGAGTGTTTGCCCTTCCATTCTTGTCAGCGTTTTGCTTTTGCTTATCCACCGCTTCGGCGATGGAGTCTTGCACAAAACGGACTACTGTTTCACGAGCCAGTATGAACTCATCTGCTGACTCGTTAGCTTCAGTGCGCTGTGAGTGCACTGCAGCAACATCGATCTTTTCTTCAGTGAGGGCTTCCGCACTCTCACTGGCATCATCTTCTTCGATATCGATGTTATCGATATCGGCATCAAACGCAATGACCTCTTTGTCAGAGCGTGATGAGCGTGAACCAAATCGGTTTTTGCTCGCGCGAGTCCCTCCCCCCCTTAAACCAGAGTCACACTCTAGTAAGGTGGGTACACGCGGATGGCGTAAGCCGTTCACGTAAAACGGTGTATGTGTCGTGGACGCATGCACCGAGTTGTTAATGGCAAACTCTACCATTGGCAAAAACTCACTCCAGCTCTTAAAGGAGTGTACGTATCCTCGAAGTATCTCTTCGAGGACGCGATTGGCACGTTCCGTCTGACCATCTGACTCTGGATGATCAGATGTCGACATCTTCAAGCGCGTTCCGAGTGAGTTGAACACGGAACGCCAGAAATCAGCAGTGAAGCGTGGATCTCTGTCTGATACGAGTTCACGGGGCAACCCATGAAGTCGGAAGATGGTGTCAATAAAGACACAAGCACAGCCACTTGCTGTGATTGACTCTGGTACAGCCACAAGGTGTACCATTTTGCTGATCTGTCAACAAAAACGAGAATATCCGTATTCCCGCGTGCGTCTTTGGGTAACCCGAAGACGAAATCCATTGAGACGGATTCCCAGCACTCAGCCGGAACTGGTAGAGACTGTAAAGGTGCACGCAGTGAAGGACTTGACTTCACTCGTTGACAGACTTCGCAAGCGCGAATGTACTTGCGCACAAACTGATACTGGCAAGGCCAGTAAAAGTCTCGACTCACCGTGAGATATGTTTTCTCCCGGCCACGATGTCCTCCTATAGGAGCATCGTGATACTCGAACATGATCCGCAAACGCAGATCAGTATCATCTGGAATGACAACACGTGGTGTGTCACCAGAAACGGCTGTATAATACAGTAGACCGTTGCGAGTAGTGTATCGATCTGATGCAGGTCGATACGCAGACGATAATCGTTTCAACGATTCTCGAGATGGCTGTGAGAGATGTGCCAACAACTTCACAATCTCGCCATCTTGGGCATATGCCCGCCTCACATCATCATGCAACGTTGAAGATGGTACTGAGGACGTCATAACTGCAACAGTGGCTGTCCCACTGTTGGGTGTCCCGACTGGTTCAAAGTCGGGCCGACGTGAGAGTGCATCAGCGACGACATTCAATCGTCCTGGTTTGTACTCGACCGTAAAGTTGTATTCTGCAAAGAATGACAACCACCGCGCCTTTCGTTGTGAAAGGTGCGGGCTGTTCACTGCCGAGCGTAATGACGCATGGTCAGTGTAAACAATGAAGGGTCTATCTCCTAATAGATAGACTCTGAACTTCGCGAGCGCATACTTCATGGCAAGGAGTTCCTTGTCATGCATTGGATAGTTCCGCTCAGCTGGTTGCAGCTGACGCGACTGATAGCAGACGACGCGTTCAACGCCTTCAAGATCGTACTGCATTAATGCACAGCCAATTGCGAAATCTCTGGCATCACAGACCACATGAAATGGCCTGTCCTGATCGGCTATTGCTAGGACTGGGGATTGTGTCAAGCTCTGCTTGATACCATCAAAGGAGCGCTGACATTCAGCGTTCCATGACCACCTCTTGTTCTTTTTCAACAAACGAGGGAGGTGTACAGTCATCTCGGCGTAATTGCGTGAGTACTTGTGCAAATACGCCGCTAGTCCAAGGAATTTTCGAAGACCTTTTACATCAACTGGCACAGGCAAGTCGGTGATTGCCTTGATCTTTTTGGGATCAGGACGTACACCGTTCTTACCAACGATGCACCCAAGAAGTGGTATTTCGCTTGCTGCAAATATACACTTCTTGAGGTTTGCATACAATTGATGCTTTCGCATGATTGTAAGAACCTGTCGGACGTGGTACCTGTGAACCTCAACGTCCGACTTTCCATCCATAGCCCGACTATGGATGAATACGTCATCGAAATAACTCGGCGCGAATTCGCGTACTGGTCTCAACAGATGTGATACACATCTGTTGAACGTGGCAGGGGCGTTACAAAGCCCTTGTGGCATTACTAGCCATTCCCAGAGCATGCCGCTAGGCGTGCTCACTGCGTTATAGGGTATATCCCGCTCTCGCATAAGGATTTGATAGAAGCCATCCATCAAATCCATGGACGAAAAGATGGTACTCTTTGACATACCATCAATGATTACGTCCTTCCTTAATATCGGCGTCCGAGCCGGTACCGTTGCAGCATTCAACTTGTTAAATGCATGCACTATCCTCCACCGTCCTGTTGCTTGTCGCACACAGAAGGTCGGAGAGATATGTGGGGAAGTTGATTCCCTCACATGGCCCGCAGCTAAACGATCGGCAAAGAACTTGTCGATCGCAAGTACTTGTTCACGAGGCAGTGGCCACTGCTTCATGACACAGTACTTCGAGCCTGGTTTAAGCTCGACCTCGTGTCGAATACCTTTATCCTTCGGTAACTCGCACGGAACAGTTTCAGGGAATACATCCTTGAATTCAACCAAATCCTTATAGAGAGGATTTGTCTTGAGCGATTCCCACGATTGGGAGTCATATCGCTCAACTCGTGTCTTTTCATCGAGGACACTCTCGTCCATCGATCAACTACTGAGAACTCTCTCGTTCTCAGTAAACATTGTTGCTGACCTTATGTCGGCTACACACTCGTCGTCAGCGACGAGTACGCAGATCTGCTTGACTTTGCCACTACGCAGATCACGCAAGAACCTTTTATGTTCGAGCGTTGGCAACTGAGTGATCTCCGAAGTCAACTTCGGAGGCGCAATCAGATCGAGTGTATAAGCGCCTACGCTTGATCCGTTATTGACTATGACATTCAATGTCTCGGTCATTTCGTGGGGACTTATTCCCTCAGGCCTCGAAGGACTTATTCCTTCGGCTTCCCGAAGACTTATTCCCGCGGGTTTCGGGGAACTTATTTCCGCCGTATTTGTAATATCGGGACTTATTCCCTTAACTTCTACTAGCTGTGGTTGCGCAACCACAGCGAGATCCTCTACGAAAGACTCTCCAGTCGATCTAGCATTATCGTTTCGCTTAACCTAAGCGATCGATTGTTTCTCTTCTAGATGTTCCCCACTAGGGATACATCTTTGTCCCGGTCCACTCGACTTATTCGAGTGGTGGACCCTCGGCGCAGCCTGTGTTTCCTCACAGCCGCCGGAACTTTGCTCCGAAGTGTAATCGTTTGTTACACTAAGGTTTTGTGCAGTCGTACTAACGACCGTACCACAAGTGAGGCCATCGCACTCACTCGTAGTACATCCACACGCTTGTGGACGCTCCAAAACGTTCATCAGATGGCCATCTGATGAACAAGCGGCAGGCATCGTTACTGTTCGATGTTGCCAGTTAACTCGTGGTTCGTACCTTCTGAGCCACGGTATTCCAAGGATGACACCAAATTTGTCATCCAAATCCAATACGATGAAGTCATCGTCATACTGGGTATCTTCTAGCGTATAGTGGATCTTCACTATACGCTTCATGACGGTTACGGATGCGCCTGTCGCAAGACGTACCGTCATCCTCGTAGGAGGTTTGTCACATTCACTGAACTCGAAGTGACCACCTTCTAGCGATTGGCGTCGCACAAAATTGTTGGACGCCCCACAATCGACTAGAGCTCGAAGGGACAACTTATTCGTCACTTCGAGTTTCAAGGTAATGAGTGAGATCTCATTACCTAGAGCAGCAACGCACAACGTTTGTGTGTTGGGAGCAACCTTCATCAAGAGGCCTACAAATTCTCTTGACGTTGCTGGACCAGTAGGGTGCTCCGCACCTACTGATCCCGTCCGTTTTTGACGGTCCATCCCGTTGTTGCGTCTTTGCACCAACAGCGGACCCGCGTCCCTGCCCTTTTCTCATGGGTGGACGGTCATTACGCCCAGTGTTGCGAGACACTGGACGAGGGGCACTACACTCATAAGCGTAGTGTCCTGTCTTCTGACATCTGTTGCATTTCTGCAACTTCTTGTAGTCTATAGAGCGAGCCTTCTCGCTCTCTACATAACAGAGTTCCATCGGCTCTGGACCTCCGTTGTCATATCGTCTGGGTTGACGATATGATGTCGAGCTGGCGCGAGCCTGTCTCAGACTGAAGTCTTCCTGCTCCGCAATTGAAATGGCTTGTTCTAGTGAATCTAGTTCAAGCCGGAACAGGTGAGTCTTGACGGGACCATCCGCAAGACCCTGCATGAACACCGAAACCAACGTGTGTTCATGAACCGGGTTGGAACTTATACAACTCGTGAGGTGTCGTATATGTTGTGCGTAAGCGTGCACATCACGCTTACCTTGCTTGAGCTTCAAGAGTTCAGTTTGAGCTCTGAACTCAGCTCTAGGCGGTTCAAACGTTTGTCTGAGCCGCGCCTTGAAGACTTCCAACGACCCAAACGCATATGGGTCGTGCAACTTGAGCCCCAGTGCCCAAGTCTTGGCACGTCCTGCCAGATTGGACTGGGCAAATGCAACTTGCATTTCCCCATCGTCGATGCGACGCGCCCTTATGGCGTCGTCTAATTTGACAAACCATCTCAAGAGGGAGTCTTCTTCGACTCCCCTATACTTGGAGATGTCAATCTTCAAGGTCTCGGGTCGACGCGAGTGCATCGACCCACCAGCAGCAGCCTGCTGCTGTCTCAACAGTTCAAACTGTTGAGCACCCTGTTCTCTCAACAACTCTGATTGTTGAGAACCTTGTTGGTGAAGCAAGGCTACTTTCTCGCGTTCAGCGTCAAGTTCATTTTGAATGAACTTGGCGATAGTAGCATGTTGGGCATCTCTATTGAGAGCCTCTAGCATGACGCTAACAGCATGGATGCCCATGGTTGAACCCATCCGTTCAACCGCATCCCATTCGACATTGCTCAAATAGGAGTAGCCGTCACGCGTAGCGTGAAAGCTTTGGTCATCTTCATCATCTAACATATTCATGTTAGATGTGAACGTGGTCCTTGGACGGACTACGAAGTGCTACCAGGTGTAACGGGGCACCCTGAAGCTTGTAATGATGACAGTACAAGCTACTTATTCTGATGACAGAATAAGGCGGTGCCTCGTAACTTCACGTACACTGGTACGTGCAGAGGAAGACGGTAAGAAGAAGCGAGTACTTGTTTAAAGTAAAAAGTAGAACTGTATTTATAATAGTTAATGTCTGCAAAAAATCACTATTTATCTTCATCTAACTATGTATAAATACAAATGTGTAAATCAACTATCTGCTCACCACTCATTGCGTGCGTCTGTCGTGGCGTGTCTTCGTTGGTTGATATAATGGCCTATATCAACCAATTAGGAACTACTCGTAAGTGCTCCAGAATATTTGTCCTTATGACAATATTCTGAGAATATAACTCTTATAGTTATATACTATTAACAATTTCTTATAAATTGTTATGTAACGATTCACCCCGTTACAGCTAGGATGTTGCTGCATACAATGCCAGGTGCAGCAGACCCATCTGCAATCACGTAGAAGCAGCGGGCCATCGACTACGGCTAGCCGCTGCACAAGATCATACAGGCAGATCAAACACAATGCGTACAAAACCCTTGGCCGGCATCGTTATACACAGCAAGACTCAGCATAAAAGTGCTTCATCAACGTGATTCAGCAGCCAATGTGTGACTCATGAGGCGATGATGGAACGGTGAATGCTTGGGGCTTCAACAAGAATATATCCAATGCATGTGTCGTCGAGGCGCTTGCCGCAACGCTGCTGCAAATGCCACAACGCGCCAAACACACCGACGTTTTTGTTTTCGCTTTTGCAGAAAATGGAGCTGTGCTGAAGGAGAAGTGCCATGCGAATGATAGCAGGAGATGCTTCACACACGCGGAATTCAACACATAGTGTCACGTCAGAGGGCTCTGGGTAAGTCAACAACATTGCCGGCTACGGGGATATAATACAAGTAGCGCGACGAAATCGTGCACAATGCGCAAACTGTATGGGTCGTTCTCCATTGCACGGCCAGCCATGTCATCGTCATATCAGCGTGCCAAGTATGTCTAAAGCGACTTCAGTTGTCCCATAAGGTCTTCTAAGCTAACGTCCTCGTTCGCATCTGAATCTGTCTGGTCTTCAGCAGCAGCAGGTGAGCCAGCGGACTGATCATACGCAAACGAAAGACCTGGTGCCAGCTGTGCTGTCGCTCTAGCTGGAGTCTCCGTGCTCTCGAAAGTAGTGGCATCGTCGTCCCCGCTGAGCTCAATTCCCCACTCGTTGTCGTCGTGCTCGACAACAACGTCCTCTTGGCCATCATGACCGCGCGCATTCCAGACCGTCGGAGTCCAGCCAATATGCTCAGCGACCGCTTGCTGCTTGCGACACTGTGCGTTCGAGCACTCCGGATTCGGACGCATCACATCAGACGGAAAAAAGTCTGTCAGTGCGCTATAGCCCAAGTAATACGACACTTGTCCAAACCCGAGGAGGTACTTTAGTGCATTCTGCACAAGCATAGCAGCCACTAGTCCCATGGTTGTCGGCAACGACGCGGCACAAACGCCTTCCCGCTTGAGCGTCGACTCGTCAATGCCACTAGCCACAATAAGTGGCGGCAAACACTCAAAACACGCTGTGCGTCCCGGCAGCAAAAACTGAATATGTCCCGACACGGCGTCCTCGGACACGCCCGACTCCATCCACTCGTGGTTCAGCTCATTGCACGCTTGATTTAGTGCCGTGCGAGCTGCGTAATTGTCAACACAGCTCAGGACCAAGTCAACCTTGCCACAACCATCCAAACCGCCATGTCTCATCCGATCCAACAGCTGGTCAAAGTTCGTCGTCGTTGTAATATCCATCGTATACTCTTCAAAAACCACGTCAGGGTTGATACCTGCGACACGCCATCCCCACCAGCTGGTCAGTACAAAGAAGCGGATTCAAAAACATGCTGTTCGATAGAACCACCCCGAAAAATGCAGTATGCAGTTGCACAGGTCACCTACTATGCAGCGTCTGCTTGGCCGCCGCAGTCTTGGTCAAACCAGCTTGCTCGGGTCGGAAAAAGAGCCGGTTCATGTTCGCGAGCTCGACCGTGTCGTAGTCGTAGAGGATCAACTTGCCAATGCCACACCGCGTCAGCATCTCGGCAGCCACGGAGCCAATGCCCCCTAACCCTACGATCAGAATCGACAAATGCCGAATGGCTTCGTAGTTCGAGACGATCCCCATCCGCTTGAGCGCCATCAAGCGACTGTAGGGATTGCTGGCCACCACTTCGGCGCTCATTGGGACAGGACGCGCGCCACGTGTCACGGCCCGCTCGAGACTCAACTGCACTTTGGCTTTCTGCTGCATGAGGTCAGCGATCTGCTTGTCCAGCGCCCGCAGCGTCGCCATCGCCGTCGCCGTCGTTGTTGCTGTTGCTGTTGTTGTCGTCGACATGAGGACGTCGCTCGAGTGGCTTCGTGGGGAGGTACGTAGTGCGTGGCGTTTTGGAAAGTGGCTACAGCTAGTGCACGTTTTGTCAATCAGAGCTCTTGAGCCAGTGGAAAAGGATGACAACCAACAGCCAACCCGTTTGGACCGATACAAAAGGGCAGATGAAAACTGACCGACGTTCCGGCTGTCAGATCGAGAGTCTGCTCGTGCACGTTGTCAACGTTCATTTATTGCAAGTCTTTGCTCTATTCCACGGCGCGCCGCCTCGGTCCTCGATCCTTCTTTACGCTAGAACCGTCGATTGAAGCGATAGTTATTCTTCATGTAGTTGAGCACAATGGGGCGCAAAATAGTCGAGTACGTGTGACGCAAGCGGTGAAGGATTGGCAGCACTTTGCGCCGGATGTGGGATTCCACCACGTCGAGGTACTCGACCGCACGTTTACGGGCTGGAATCATCCCACACGCCTCGTCCGGCTGCTGCTCGAGCAAATAAATAATCTTCTTGAGATTGGCCAGGAAATCGCCCAGATTGTTCGACTCGTGACGTCGCAAACTAGCTGAAGTGCGGATCACCGTGTTCACACGACAGAGCTCGCGAAACACCAGTGCAACTTCATCGCGGTACCGAGTTTTCATCACTCGAAGCTTGGCAAAGTACAGCTCGTCACGTCGTGCCAAAGAAGTGCTGGACGCGCCATGCGACGACGATGGCGTTCGTCCCTTCCGTCTCGTTGCTCGTCTGCTGTTGTTGCTGCCACTAGCCAAGCTACTAGCCCGGCAATCACTCGAGTGACACGCGTTTCTTCGTTCTGCCGTGCCGACCAGCAAAGTATCGTAGGCACCGCCTTGCTCCATGCCGTGGCAGTGGTATGGACACGACGCGACCGGCGACGCCGACCCCGCGGCTAGTGTGGCTGACCCAGCCTGGACGCTATCCCGTCGCTGGTCTTCATCAAGTCGCACCGTGACGTCTATCGCGTCGATTCGAGTAACCGCCAGAGGCTGACGACGGAGCGACTCAATGCGCTGCTCAAGCTTCTGAACGTACTGCAAATGGTTCCGGCTCTTCTTCCACACAAACGACTCGTAGCGAGACGCACATCGTCGCACATGTCGCACATGTCGCACGTTGCCATCCCCTGTAATGCGCTGCAGCTGCTCCATCCTAGAATATTACAATAACAACAATACACGAAATATCACAAAAAGACACCAAATTGTCACAACTTAGAAACCAGTTTTAGCGGAATAAAACCAAATCGAAAAAAAATTAAAGCAAAAAGCCACAGAGGCAAGCGGACTTGCAAACGCCACCATCTTTCAAACACACACACACACACTGTGCTCCAACACGTACATCGCTGCAATGAAGCGGTCCCGCAGCTCGCTGCGCACGAGACGGCGCCAGTGCCGCTCCCGTCGCTGCTCGTTCTGAACGCGCGTCACGTCGGACGGCAGCTTCTCTCCGTCTACACGCTGTCGCTCGGGCATGTCTTGTATACGTATAGCCGGTTGGGCCACGTCTTGTATACGACACGCGACGCTCGTTGCGTCCGTAGCGGCGGCCACACACGCAACCGAAACGTCGGAAACAGCTGCTGCAGCTGCTCCTGTCGCTCCGGCCGGTGCAGCAGTCGCCCGGTCGGTAGGCACCTTGTCAGACGTGGCAACAGCTTCTTCCGACTGCATCTCCCGCGCGGTCAAAAGGACTTTGGACCGCTTGGGCAGGCGCTGGGGTCGCGTGGCTCTTTGTTTTTGTACCGGCAAATAAATGGGTCTTGTCTTTTCTTTTGATACTTCTGAAAAAAGTCAGAAGGCCCCGAGAGGTGTCTATTGTCTCGAAAAATCTCGATTTTCTCGCGGCCGACGGTCGTTTTCTTGCGAGTCACGACGAGAAAAGAGAAAGGAGAGAGGGGGGCGAGTTTTGGTTCTTTTACGAAACGTCCGCTCGAGATTTGGGGAGAAAAAGAAGTGGCTGTGGCTGACTTCTGCTTGCCTTTGTGGACTTTCTCTAGCTCGTTGTCCCATTTGTTTCGTAATCCGTCGTTTTGCTTGATTTAGTATCTACGGACATCAAAATAAAGAGTCGACTGCGAATTCAAGTGCAGGAGATTTTATCGAGGATTTGAAGACGCTCCGGACATTATTACGATAGCAATTTGTCCACTTTACGCGTCCCTTTTTCGGCGAAAGATCAAATTTGTAGAATTTGGAGCGATGCACCTCCCGTTGCGTCTCCGTGGCAGCGTGACGTACGCCGTTTGCCAAAGTGGGGCATGTGAAATGTCATGTCACGCTTGTTTTGCAAACTTAGCTTGTTTACGAAAGCAGTGCGTACAACGTTGATTACTAAGCAAGGGTCAGCTGTTGCCCGTTGTTTCGAAGCCATTTTGCTGCTACAGGGTCTGCAGACGTCAAGCCTGTTGTAGCAAAAAGCGATTGAGCCGCAGAAAAACGTCTCATTACGACTCTGCCAGTGATGGCGACCCTATCATACGGTACTAATTTGTCATGCGATCCAATCGCACCTTTTACTGGCGTTTCAAACTCACGTTGTCCTTTTTGCAACCACAGCCCGTCCGGGTTGTCGTGCTTCCGTCATCATCGATAGTAGCTTCAACCATTACAGCTGCATCGTGTTGTTCAGGTGAGTTGTAATCAACACAACGCAGTCGCTGGAGACTATCTCTCTCCCACGTCCCAGCGCTTTGGTATCCTCTGTCAACTTAGGAGCGGAGGCTGTAAAAATAATCTGATCTTGTTAACTATACGAAAGCAGACACCTATTCTGATTCCTCTTTCTTCATCTGATACCGTTACAACCTCTTCAACATGGCCACCGACGTCCCGCTTGTAGCTGCTGCTACTTCAGACGCGACGACCGAGCTGTCTGCAGCTCCAGACACTCCCGCGTTCGTCTCTGCAAGCGACGAGAACCTTCCACACAACGACATCGATGAGTTCCTCGACGTCGTGGTCACCAGCGTCGACGCCGTGTGTCCCAGCGTGAGCCAGAGCCTCGCACTTTTTACGCTCTCGACGTCCGATCTCCACGTCTACACCGTCGAGTTTGTCGTGACTCGAGGCGTTACTTCATACTGTATCAAGCGACCGCTTCCCACGCTGTATGAAGTGTTAAGTCACATTCAGACAACATTTACAACACGCGAGCAATCACCGCCAACTGACTCGATCAAGCTGCCCGAATTCCCTCTGAAAAGCACTCGCAACGACGCAGCGATCGCCCAATGGTGCACTCAAATGACGGTCTTCTTAGCCGCTCATCGATGCGGGATGCTGCAGCTTCATCCGGATTGGCTCGACTTTGTGGTCGAGCGTGGAGAGGACCAAGGCGCTCGACTCCACATGACAGCGATTGACTTTATCTTGCAAGCTTTTCCATTGGAGAAACTCGTTGTACCAAGAAGCTCACAACAGGAAGTAGTCGTACAAGTGACGGCGAGTGGAAAAGATGAGGACGCGTCGCAGTTTATTGTGTGGAAGTTTGAGCTGGAGGAGTTTGATGTGGACTTCAGTGTCTCGTTTACTCCAGAGCTGTGCGAGCAGGAACTTGTTGAAGTGGTGCATGCTCGGACGAGATACGTCGTGACGATAGGTCGAGCTGTAGAAGGGTCCTTTCGATGTGATCGGGCTGGAAAAATAACGCTGACGTGGGACAACTCGTACTCGAGGCTGCGTGGGTACGTGAGCGGTGTGAGGATGGAAGCTTGTCGTTGTTAGCACTTGCATACCTGACGCTTCGTTTTGTTTTTCCTTGGTGCAGAAAAAACGTGCTGTATCAGGTGCAAGTTGTGACAGGTAGTGTGATGGCGTCCGCAACTGCTGCGGCGGATGCGTTGGACGAAGCTGTTCGGGTGGAACAAGCCCGCAATCACGAACGGAATGCAGCGCTGTCGAGGGCACTTATTGTAAGTCCGATGTCGACGCCAGATGCAAATGAGCTGTCTCGATACTCGGCGTACATACCAAGCGCCATTGCTCAGCAGAGCTGGTTGTTGAGCGCGCCGATCAATGTAGCTGGGCACTTGGCATCGAAGCTTTTTGGGTCGCAAGATCTAACGGCGGTAATCCCGTCATCGTTAGATCCTGCGGCCCAAAAAGCTTGTCAACACAACAGAGGACTCGACAGTGATGCTCGCAGCCTTGTGGAAGAGCTAAATGGGCTCAACATGCAGCTCATGGAGCGGATGGTATGTAGATTATATGATGATCGCGTCGGCACTCGTATAACATGCTAACCTGTGCTGTGTGTGCTCCTCTGTTCCATCTTTGCAGGAAATTCATGAGGACAGTATCGCCAAGCTAACTGCTCAACGCGATCAAGAGCGGTCAAAGGCACATATAGCACTAGTGGAGAAGGACAATTATGCAAACGAGGTCAGGGCAAAAGAGGATGCACTAGCCTCTACTGTCGGCGAACTTCAACGCATACAACGAGAGCGGGAAGCGTGGCGTGAGATACAAGCGGAACGAGATGCACTGCTCGAAGAAAAACACCGCTGGGCAATGGTATACAATCTCTGTAAGCGCGACAGTGGTAACAATGCTTCGCTAATGATATTGCGTGCCATTTGTGTTGTAGGCAGACGACTTTGATGGTGGTGATAATGATGCTTCTAGCATAGCTAGAGAAATGGACACTGCGATCCGCTACCGTCTTGAAAAGGAGCTCGGCCAGGCTGAAGCCACAATACTGCGATGCCGCGCAGAGTTGGGTTATCCTTTGAATAATCATCTGACGGGAACTTCCACTCGATTCGAAACTATTGCAAGGGAAATGGCAGCGTCGAAGCACCGATACGAAGAGCAGATACAAATATGGGAGCAAGAACGTATGCAGCTAACGCAGCAACTAGTGAAAGCTCGCGGCCAAAGACGTGTGCTGGTGACAGAGATCCGTAACATGCGAACTCAGACTGAAAGCCAGATTGCTGTGGCCATGGCTGAAGCGAGCGAGGCACGAATGGTGAACAAGCGCTTGAAGACGCAAAACGGATTGCTGCTGACTCAGATCCGGACGCTGATAAATGAAACTGAAAGCAACGAGAAGAAGACTCGAGATGCCAAAGATGAGCTAGAGCCGCAACAAAAACAAGAGTCACAACAACTGTCACGCGTCCAAAGCCAGTCAAAGGCAGGTGAAGCTTTGGGACTAGAAACTGCAGTCGCGATGGTAGATCTTACCGTGAGAAGTCAAAACGAAGGAAGCAAAAGAGAAGCGGCAACGGATGAGGTGGACGACTCCCCTGTTCCGTACACGTTGGACGATAACGACATCGCCGTGCTGAACGGTCGTCCACTGCCATCCATTGCAACCAGCGCAACGTCTGCTTCCCGTCCACAGCGTTACAAAGAGACAGAGACTTTGTCTTTGTCCTCTCCTGGGCCCCTGATCGATCGTCGCCAGAACCCTTTTCGTGCACGGCTGCTAGCCTTTTTCGAGGAACACGATCCGACGAAGGTTGTTGAAGTGGACGAGATGCTGCTACACTACAAAGGCGTGGAAGAATCGCTATTCGAGAGCTTGGAACTCAAGTACAGCTTTACTGAGCTCAACCGATGCATCGCTCAAGCTTTGTAAAAAGACAGCATCATGCAGAGCCAGACAAAAAGAGTAACCACGTTGCAAGAACCGACGCTCGCATTCACAACATGTAAAGAGAAGGAGACGAGCAACAACACCGACAACCTTTCCTAGTCCAGGCATTAGCAGCTCAACTCTGTGCCACAACGTCAGGACCACCGGATCGTTTGTCCGTTACTCCTTCTTGGGCTTGACAGTCTTTCCATTGCGACTGGTGCAGCAGCCACACAGACAGCCAAGCAGTAGTCCGAGCAGCAGTCCGCCTGAGAACGTGACAAGCAGCACGTTCTTCTTGGTCGCCAGCAGCGTGACAAAGTCTTGCTTGACTTGCAAGAGCTGCTGCGACGCGAAGTCCATCAAGCCCGGAGCAGCAGCCACGACTTGGCCGTCCACTTGCTTGAATCCTCCGCGAGCAAATAGCAAGAGCTCGTCGAGCGTGCGCTGGCTGCCAAACTTGTACGACTTGCCGTGACTGAAGTGCAGGATCGTCGGGAAGCCGCGGATCCCAAAGCGCTGGCCGAGCTCGGGGTGCTCCGTCACGTCCACTTTGGCCACGTTCACTTCACCCTTGAGCTCGTCGGCCACTTGCTCGTAAATGGGCGCGAGTTTCTTGCAATGGCCACACCACGGCGCGTAAAACTCGACAAGCCAGTCTCCAGTTGTCGCACCCGTGGCCGCCTGCGTCTTGGCTTCAAAGTCGGCGGTTCCTAGCACAATGACATTCGAGGCCGAGACGGATTGGAGCGTGCACAGAAGCGCGAGGGACCACACGTGCCAGAGATTTTTCGACGTTGTGATCATTGGGCACGTGTGAAAGTAGTTCTCGCGCAAAGATCAAGAGCGTGGGGGCGTGTTGCGTCGCGACGTGACGTGTCTTGTCGCGATTGGCTTTTTGATTGTGACCCACGGGGGATCCAGCAAGGGGTGGCTGCTCTTTTTACGTCCATACGCGCATGCGTGCGTGCGATGTTCTTTTTATTTGGCCAAGCACGTGCGAGGAATGTTCGTGGGTGTGGATTTTTACAAACCGGTACGAGTACCGATACTTGATCGGTTCAGCTGTTGCAGTTCCATTTGTGGGATAAATCAGTATGCGCGAAGGGTAAAGCAACTGCCAGTGTGCGTGCAGAGAGTATTTCGACCACAAAGTAACCCGAACTCGACTTTTCTCAAAATTGAGGTATTGTAGCCATATCTAGCTACCCTCAGCCACACTTTCATCCGCCAACATTTGTTCAGCCATTCGTGACGAATTAATTACTGCAGCCTTTTGCGACAACCACGATGTCGTTTTCCACCTGCACTGTAGGTTTGTAGCAAAACAAAAAAGCTGGAGGTGTGTATCACGCACCTGCATTTATCCCCGCTACAACACCGCAAAAGCATCAAACTCTTTGCCTCCGTCGCTGTCAACACTCAAAACCCTTGTACTTCATCATTCACTAATCTCAGCAGCACTGCATCCGCGCTGCACATGAAACGTCTTTGCTTGCTTGCAAATACCAGCAGCTACGCCAAAAGATCGGTAAATAATCGCTCGAGTGCGCGCTATGTCTAGTTTGCATCAGCCGCAGCGGCAGTGCAGTGCAATCCATGTGGTACCGGAGTACGCGTACCTTGGACCATTGCAGATCATAGCGACAGCATTATCAACAAGTCGGGGTCGTTGCCATTCCCAGCATTCCCCGATCGTCTCGACCTCGGAATCATCCACAAATTACATCTCCAAGCAAAAATGCAATCGTCTTACCACCCCAGTAATTGCTTCAACACGGAAGGTTCGCCTGTCGAACACACAGTCGACTATTTGCCAACAAGTGCCACTTCCATCGCGCCGACGACGTACCCGAGGCCAAGGCCGCTCCAAAGTTTTTCGAGCCAGTGTATTTGATTGTACCATTTGCGGCTGCAATGATTGTGCCATTTGGCGTATATCTACCATTGGTCGAAAAGCATCTGCTCCACCATAGGCGACAAACATACCCAACCAGTGCGAACGATGGAGCTCCCAACTGAGACGACGCAAGCGACGAACAATTTGGACCATGCGATGCAGGTGCCAATGCCTTCCACGTTAGTAACGCCTTTCGCGTCGGACATGACGCTGGCATCGCTTCCAATACCTGAAATCTCTGAGATGGAATCGACGAAATTGTCGGAATTGTGCCAGGAAGTTCCGAATAAACTGCTGGGAATGTCGTTTGTGACGCCAGTGGAGACCATGACTCTGGAATGTCCAGAAGAAGTGGAGAAGAATAAAGTAGTGGTGGGTTCTCTCATAGGAAAGCGCAAGAACCTGACGGACCAACAGCGTGTGGCGATTGTCCACTACCTTCTTGCGAACAGTGCAGCAGGATGTCTGAAACACGGTGACATTAAAGCTGCAGCTATTCACTTTGGAGTGCACCGGGCCACAATCCGACGGTTGTGGAAACTATACATGGATTCTAATGCCACGGAGAGTCTAGTGGGGAATGTTGCTAGTCGGATCAAGGGACGTTCCGGGAGAAAGCCAAAGATGGCGGATGAAGAGCTCAAGGTCCGAATTGCTGCGATTCCCGCAGAACGCCGAATGACAGGAAGGGGGTTGTCCACAGCTCTTGAAGTGAGCAACAGTGTTGTCGTGCGTCTAATTAAGACTGGAAAGCTACGACGTCACCCGAAGAAGCTGCACTACATAATGTAAGGGCGAAAAATGAAGTGAACTTGGTGTGTTGATGTTGATGATGACAGGCAGTGGCGTTTTCAGTGTTGGAAGAGATTACTATCTTGGTACATGTGTTTTACTTGATAGTATTTCTTGTGGGTATACTACCAGCAGCACTAGCTCATTATTTGTTCCGTCAGCAATGCAAAAGCTGTGCGAGTTGGTCCTGTTTGGCAGTTGTTTCGGTCACTCCATTTAAACCGATCGTAAGTTCAATCAGAGAGTAGTCGCTCAAGAGAGTGAGAGTCTTTCAATTGATCAGGATTTACGACAGATCGAAGTAGCGACCTCATTTGCATCCGATGAAGGCGCTTGTCCTGATTGTTTAGCGCCAAATAATTGCTATCGAATGAAATTTTGGATCACCATGATCTTTCCGAAACGTATCGTTACGCTGTATTCCTGCAGCAAGACGGGCGCCCTTTTCAATACTTCCGGATCAAAGCGCCCGTATCGTGCTGCTCATGAGTGACGTGTCTCTTGTAAATCATTTTTCCTGAGTCGGGGCATTGGCCCAGAGGAATGCTGAACCGAACGGAAATCAGCGAGGGCGCACCATCGGTGATTGCCGATACAACGTGTACGCGCTGTTCTCTGTATTGCACAATTCTTCTAGTCGCCTGTCACAAACATGATTTATACTGATGCAATGATTCGCAGAGGAACGATCGGAGGTTGAACTTGAGAGTATGCTCATACTCGCTCTCGAGCGGAGGTCGCAAAGGTCCTTGCGTGTACGGGTTTGTAATCGTTGGTAGAATATGCAGTGTGTAGTCAGTCAGGTTCGAACTTGTATCTGCGTGGCAGAACTTACAGAGTTACCCACTCTGGATTGGTTAGCAAAGCCACAACGTCACGGATTAACGAGGCCAGACTAGCCCCATGATGAGCTCAACTTACCATGACTTCGTGCTCGATCAAGCGCAAAAATTGCATGCTCTAGCTCCAATAGTTGCCCAGCATCTCGGCCATTTACTACGTCTTGTCGATCAAAACCCATGCCATGCATACGCGACTGCAGATGTGCCATGTAGGGCTCGACATGAAAAGGACAGAGATTACGCCGCAGTTGACGAGCTGGTTACCTTCGCATTGCTTTGCATGGTACTTGTCATGATACGAGTCCACGATTTGGCATGCCATGCTTCATTCGAATTGCGCAAGTTCAGCACTTTTCGATCGCACAATGCGAGCAAAAGTCCGCAGGACACGCACATTTCCTCTTTTACGTTGCAGACTACACGCAGCAGTTCCCAAGGAACGACTATGCTTTCGGCCAACAAAGCACTTGCACTACTCGCTGCTCTACTGCTTTCTTCCGGATCTGTGCCTTTGACATTTGGACACAGTGGTGCGGTCACGCCTACACAAGAGGCCGCTCCGCAGGCCAAAGAGAAAGAGCTAGTGCGCGCTACCACTAGCTTCGTTGATGGTCGCGACGGTGAACGGACCGAAGATGAAAGGATTTCGCTGGAGGAGTTGATCAGATTCGAAGGCATCGCTGATGAAGTCAAGGCCGACGTCATGAAGTTCCTCCCGATATTCAAGTCTTACAATGAGAGGAACAAGGAAGCGTTGGATGTGTACTCCAAGATGAAAAAGCTTGAAAGCATGAGCAAGCGAAAAGCTTTTGCCTATAGCGAACTTTACGATGTGTATTTGAATAACCGTAGGGCTTTTGAAGCGCAAGGTAGGTAGTAGTAAGTAGACTGCGAAGCAGGTCAGGAACTACTCGCAGTAAACCCAACAACATGATCGCTTCTGTGATTCAGCAGCTCCGCAAGGCTAGGCGGCTTCGATCCAACTGTCCTTGCAAAGGGTTGGCTGATAACCCTTGAATGGACGTGTAATTCGAATGCCTGTTCCTCCAAAAGACGCAGGTTCATTGTTATCGTAAACACAATTGTCAACGTGCGATAGTGCTACCTTAAGCGAAAACGAATAGAGCGAGAACAATAGACACCATGCGCTTCCCGTGCAAAGCTGCAGTGGAAATATGAACAGCTTCTCACCTGAAAATGAGTAGTTAAACTTGAACGTCGATTGAGTGCTTATGACTCTGCGATATCGATGTGCTACTACCTAGACTACATCATCTTCTCCTCGGTGAAGGACCGGGTGTTGGTGACCTGCACACGTACTTTAATTCAACAAAGGCGAGTGTCGACCTCTTGAACTTCATCGTTGCAGAATACGTTGCGTTCGGTAACACGAACGTAAGTGGAGCTGATCACATTAATCACTCCAGCAATTCGTCGAGCGCCTGTTTCCTCAACTTTGGTCGTCATCGCCATACTCCGTGAACACTTTACTCATCTGATGTGCGGCGATCTCGGCGACGACCATGATAATACTCAGCCCGACCCTGATCCCTTTTTCGACTGCCATGTTCGATATCATGGCCCCGGTGACGATGACTACGGCTTCGGTCTCTACTTCGATCCCGAAAGCGCTTTCGAGACCTCTCTCCACTTCTGTCGGGACTTGCAGATCTTTTGCGGTGTACATTGCTATCTTTCGCACACGATCTTCTGCGCGTGTTCGGCCGTTCATTGGAACGAGACCCGGAACGACGTCTTCTGGTTGAAAACTGATCTAGCTGTCGCTTTCGACTTCGGTTGCGGACCGCAAGCGCATCGGTGAAGTTGTACCAGCATTCCACAGGATTGCGACCAGATTGACGCACCGCCCTAGGATCCTTGCCTTCATCTGCTTCATTGCTAAACCCACCACCAAGCGCGAGTTCGCGGTCCGATTCCCGACTAAGCCCGACCATGTGCTTCTGGATCATTTCCCGGTATGCTGCGGATCCTGTCTTTGTGCCCACTTTCCCCCTGTACGAAGCACGGTGACGCTTTTGCACATGCTCATCGTTCGCATTACTCGACTGCGCTTGGGAGTTCGTAAGTACAACACTTGCCGTTGAGAAATCATGGTTACCGTCTGATGAGCTCACTCGAACTGCCACATCTTTCTTGCTCTTTCCTACATTCTGATGGGTTTGTCAAAGCGTCGTAAACTTAGTTAGTATATGAAGGCAATAACAATGCGTGGAATCGGCATTGGCTCAGCTACAACGTACAAAGACACTTTGTAGTCCAATTTCGATGACCATGAATTTCCAAAGCGCTAACACAAATTCCTGCACACACAACATGCTGTCAGCACAATATAAACCATCCAGTAGCGCTCTCTACACAATGCTCTTACGGTCACGGTGCTACCGAGGAACTCATGAAGCTCCGATACCAAACGATCAGGCTGGCAGAAATCGGGGTGGTCCAACAATCCAACCACATAGTCAACCAGCTCACAGTCGATCCCCTCGCCGCTCGGTAGCACTCCAGGACGACTTATTTCATTCTTCATCCATCGGGACAAAGACGATGACGTCACGAGCTTGCGCTCGTCATCTTTCATCGTAGCAAAAGCACGTGGTATACGTCGCCACGCCTGTACGTGGCTGTAAAATGTTCCAGTAAGGACCTCCATTTTCTGAAGTGCACTCGTTATTCCGCCTCCTTCATTGCTGCTATCTTGTCGAGAATTGAGCTCCCCATTCTGGACATCTTCAGGCTCCAATAGACTCGGCAGCATCGTCTCTTTATCATGTCCACCTTGACTATCTTTTGTCTTTATATTCGCGAAACTATCACCAACAGCTTCCTCAGTAGTTCCACAGTTCTCGTCTTGACATTTCTCGGCATCTTTTTCGTTGCGTCTGCCATAATAGAACTACAGAAGAAGGCGGAAAGATGCGTGACGACAAGTTCGTTATCAGTCATTCATTGCATTTTTTACCTCGGCATTGTGAACCAGACGAGGTCGCCGTTGTCCATGGCATTTTCTCTGTCACCCAAAATTGTATGTTACCCGCAATATAACAACAGTGAGGATTCGACTATTGATGATATATTGCAATATTCAGTTAGACGGCGGTCTCCATATCGTAGTTACCAGATGTTTCTCAAGTGACGCTTTTGGCACGAAATGCTCATGAAGAGGTGAGCCACAAGACACAAAATTCACTGCAGGTTCGATGTTGATATGTGTCGTCTGTATCAGCGCCTGCAATGCATCCGACGCATGCGCCGCAATCGCTGCAAATGTTCGAGACGATTTAATTGATTGTACCATTTGCAACTGCTCCATATAATCGGAATATAAACAACCACCGAATATAACAATTGCTCAATGTGTCACGGAAGCCGATGTATGGAAATTTACAAAATGCGTCGTTAAATCACAGGATTGTTGGGCGCTCGTATTTTTCGGATAGAACCAACCATATTCTCTAACATAAATGGCACAGATTAGGTCCAATTTCGATTTAAGAATAATGAGTCAGCAGCCGTCGTTTACATCGTTGATCGACGCAATTTTTTACTTTTTGCAACAGCCAAGGGCGATTTGAGGTGGGAGAGCTTAGAAGAAGGTAAAATGGAAAGTGAATTATCATTTAGCTAGGTCCTTAGTTCGTCTCGTTGTACTACTCTAAGCCTATCGATATCGACTCTATAATATTTGTAACAAAAAGATGAGTCGATCCATCGTTACACACAATCACACAGTATCGTCCATGGCAAATGGTCATTAGTATCAGTAATCAACTACATTTTACACCCACTCGACTAGAAGTCTCTGATCCTGGCTTTGTCTAGTAGCGACTCAAACTTCTTTGTCACTTATCGATTTGGTCATGAAATCTACCAGCTGTGACTTGATTTCAGTATACTGCAGGTCAATAATCTTGTCTTTTACCAGTTCGCGCACAAAATGGTATCTGATGTCGATATGTTTCGCTCGACTTTGATAGCCGTCGTTTTTAGCGATAGCGATTGCACTCTGGATGCCGTCGTGAATCGTGACAGCATAGTTATTCTGCACTTGCATCTCCTTGAGTAGACTTCTTGTTCACAGTACCTCCTGCACACACAAAGAAAGAGCCATATACTTTGCTTCTGCCGTGCTCAGTACCACGCTCTGCTGCATCTTCGATTTGAAAATCACAGGTGCGCCATTAATCATGAAAAAACTCCCGAATTCGATCTGCGATTTCACTTGTTACTTGCCCAGTCCGCATCGGTGTATGAGCTCAGCTAAAGATTGCCAAAACTCCTTCATAACAAATTCCTTTGCTCTGCGTCGTCTTCAGATATCGCAGCACTCGAATTGCTGCATTCCAGTGCTCTTCATGCGGAAAAGGCAAATGGCGACTCAGCTGACATACTGCATACGCAATATTTGGTCGTGAGCCCGTTGGCACATAAAACAACGTCCCCACTAACGACCGATACGGCCGATTCTTCATTCTTGTGTCAGCTTTGTCCATCTTGACCATCGCTTGCCCTCCAACACTTGGATTTGACACTGCTTTCGCATCAACTAAATCAAATTTCTCGACCATTATTGATACACGATCCTTGGCTGATCTTCAGACGTCGATTGTTGCGCAGGTACTTGACTTCGATTCCGAGAACGTATCGAACACCCCCTAGTATCTTTAACTGAAAACAACTTGATAGTTGAGCTGCCACATCGTCCATCGCTCCAGTAGATACAACCCCAATTATAAGGTCGTCCACATATAATGCAGCGTAAATCCTCGAGCCCTTGGACTCTTTGACGAAGATACATGAGTCTGCCACGCATGAAGAGAATCCCATAGCGGCCGCTCGTTTTAGCACATACAGACTGCATTCTAGCTTAAGCACTTAATTATGTCCTGCACGAACGCCCAGAGGAGGGTATACGTATGTCCCTTCTTCCAAAGCGCCATGTAGAAAAGAATTGTCGACATCATATCAATAAATCAACAATCCATTTTGACAACACACCGCCAAAAACACTGCTATTGAGTTGAGTTTTGCCACAGGTGAATATGTCTCCATGTAATCAACTCCATACGTCTGCCTGTAGCCAAGTGCTACAAGACGTGCCTTGTATCGGATAATCTCACCCAGCTCGTTTCGTTTGAGTGCAAACACCCACTTGGTTCCAATCACTTTCTAGCTTGGACGCTGTGTGTGAACTGTCTAGGTGTACTTTTCCTCTAATGCCTTAAGTTCAGCTTGAATGACCTTGTGCAATCATCACGACGAGGTGACTTAAGAGCTTCTTCGTGTGTCGTTGGGGTTTCGAACGCTCCACATGCTTGCTCATACCCAATACGTAGTCTCTTTGTGCCTCTTTTTTGATACACTTCTGAGCCGTCATATAATTCCTCATCAGCACCACCCACTGGTAATAACGCTTGAGATTGTCCATGTTGAACCGATTCTAGTGGAACTATCGCAGTTTCTTGCGACGCTCGAATACTTGTCTGTCGACTTGGTCGTATCACCATCTGTCCTTGTGTTGACACTTCTTCAGCCGAATCTTGATCTTCTTCAATCATCGTCACATCATCAATTTCAAACATTGGGTCGTCAGGATTTGAACTCGTTCAGGCATCTTGCTACTGCACCTTGATGGCAAAGCCATTTTTGTCGTACGCCTGTCTTGCATGTGACTTACTTCTCGCACACTGTGACTTTATTTCATTGCTATCTCCATGTCTTTCGTGACTCGTGGTTATTTTTGATCGATAGAAACAACGTCTTCGATCTAAAACGGGGCGAAATTATTAGTCACCGAATCTGCTGTGATGTTGCACATACTGAAGTGGTGGTCTCTCATCAAATTTAGCCGATCTCGTGTGCGTCACCCTCTTGGCATCTTCATCCCATATTCGAAGCCCCTTATTTTGGTCCGAGTAACCTAAAAAATACATCGAATCGCCTTCTTGGTCATCTTGGTCCTGTTTGACTTGTCGACATGTGCATATCCCTTTTATCCGAATACACACATCTCAGAGAGGTCAGGTTTCTTCCCAAAGATGAACTCAAACGGAGTTGTAGTCGGGTGACTGGCACATGGAACTCGGTTTGTCACATAGACTGCTGTTTTCATTGCCTCAGCCCACCAAATTTTATCCACTTGCATATGGCTGAGCATTGCTCTGTCCCTCTCTGTCAGTGTCCGGTTCATGCGTTCGGTCAGCCCATTCTGTTGTGGTGAATAGGGTACCGTCGTCTGATGCATGATACCAGATTTTCGACATACACCAGAGAAACGTCTGTTGACGTATTCCGTCCCGGGGTCCGTCCTGATACACTTGATTTTCTTGGACAGTTGATTATCCATAAGTGCCTTGTACTCTATGAAGCGATCTGTTACTTCCGACTTGTTTTCAGTACAGTATGCGGCTATATCTCTCGAATAATCATCAATAAAGGTCACGACAAATCTTGATCCTCCTCGAGACTTCGATTCCATAGGTCCTATGACATCACTGTGGACCAACTGCAACACTTCCTTGGTTTTCGCCTGTCCGTATGGTGACTTCGGAAACGTCTTGACGGTTGCTTTACCCACGATGCACCCTTCGCAGATATCGATATCATCTTCAACGCCTTGGTTCTTCTTGATCTCTAATCCATTGACGCAACCTGACATACCCTTGAGCATCTTTGTTGACAGGTGACTTAATCTTGCATGCCACACTTGTAGCTCAGCCGCTCCTGATCCGTCACCGAATTTTCGCTCTCGATTTGTCTCTTCACAAACGTTTGCTACCTCAGCCGGACTGCACTCTAAGACGTACATCTTGTTTCTGCTTGGTATTTGGGCAACGACTTCCGTGTTACTTCTAATCTGACAGCTCAGATCTGAGAAGATCATTTGTAGACACCTTTCTGACAATGCCGATATTGACAGTAGCATTCGGTCTAGACTTGGCACTCATAGCGTTTCTTCTATCCTGATCACTTCACCAGTCTTGATCTGCACGCGCACTGTCTTAACACCTTGCGCTTCCACTTTGCTGCCATCTGCTACGGTGATCATGATCGGGTCCGTCAGTGAGTCTAAATTCGAAAACTCATTTCCGTCGGGACACATGTGGCTGCTTGCCCCACTGTCCAATAACCATCCAGCTGACGTCCGACTTGACGCAGTAAATGCTCTCTCTTCTCCAGATAGCTCTGTTTCCACTTGTGCATCCTTGCAATCTTGACGCTTGTGCCCATATTTGTTACATCGGTAACACCTTCCCGAGAACTTTTCACCTCTTAAACTTGATCTCCCCATATGTCTGCGCGGACCTTTCTTCTACTTGAAAGTGTGCGTACTTTTCAGTGCGACTTCTTTGAGTTTTGTCCTCGCCATTCCATCGTACACCCGTCTCAGCATTTTCTTAGCGTGAAACAGTGTCATTCCGTGCATATTCTCAATTATCTTGACAAAGGGATTATAGTATCTCGTTAGACTACCCGATAGGATGACCATTTGCTCATCCTGTGAAATATCTTGTCCCACAGCTTGCATAGTCATGCACAGCTCGCCAAATCTCAGGAAGTGATCCATGATGATTCCTTTCTCGGTCAACTTGAACTCATGTAGTTGCCGCCGCAACTGCACACGATTGTGCATACTTTTTGCAGGAAGAAAGTCTTTAGTGTGTCCAATGCTTCTGCGTTGTCTCCGCCGTGCGCACCATTGACTGATAATTGTGCTGATCATTGTGGACACGATCGCGGAGGCCTTCATGTCATTAAATTTTAAAGTAGACGCACTTGCGTATCCTTCTACTGGGGCCTTCATAGCGTCTAGGTGCTCTATAAATCCCTTCTCTGCCAGCCTCATCCTTGCGTAGAACTCCCACACGAAGTAGTTATCTCCGCGGAGTTTGTCACCCGCATCCGGAGTAGTTGGGCTCATACCTTTTGACTTTTGGCAACAGCCAAGGGCGAGTTGAGGTGGGAGAGCTTAGAAGAAGGTAAAATGGAAATTGAATAATCATCTAGCTAGGTCCTTATTTCGTCTCGTTGTACTACTCTACGCCTATCGATATCGACTCTATAATATTTGTAACAAAAAGATGAGTCGATCCCATCGTCACACAAAATCACACAGTTTCGTCCATGGCAAATGGTCATTAGTATCGGTAACCAACACCATTTCCAATAGCGATTCACGCGCACTCGCACTTACGGCGATATTAATTTCTACTCTCCTCCTCGGCATGACGTACCGCACCCAGGGATGTAAGTGACCGACCGATGTCAAGTGACCAGGTCAATTGACCTTGTCACTTACCCAAAGTGATCGAA